AAATGTTCGAACCGTTTTAAATTCGAATTTGTTATTGCATATTGGTTCGATTATAGAATGATTGTAAACGTTTCAGAAAATTGATCAAATTGAAAATAGTTTGTTTGATTCTCGGCAATTCTCATCATTTTCACCGGCAGGTGTTATATAACAATTACTATGGTTGTTGAAATACTGAATATAAATGGGGTTTGCTTGCAAAATCCGTGCGGGCAAAGCCATGAGTAACAGCTAATGTATATACTGTATATATATATCTTGTAATTATTGTTAATTTAATAAAAAAATACTTAACTCACTAATTTAAACTTCAAAAATCAAAAAATAATGCAGCACTGAAAATTTATTATTATAAACTGTAATCCATAATTTCTATAATATAAAACAACATAATCACGATTTATCTCTGTCTAATAGCTACTGTATAATATAGATATAAATCATATTCTTATTCCTATAAGATTTCTTACTGAACTTATTTTCTTAGTACTATAAAAAATATACAATAGAATAAATAAACAACTAAATAAAATATATGTTCTTTTAATCTAAGCATTCACATTGTTGTTAAAACTGGTTAGAAACTTACCGTAGCACTTTCTGCAGTAAACAATTTCAGACTGGCAAAATTATTAGTGTATTTGCATAGAAATTTTAAGAAACAGTAGTATAGTAAAGCCCTCACTCTGAGGCCACTCCCAAAAATTCCCAGGTAAAATTGTGTAAGTTTTAATGTAAATCAAACTCCATCTCAGTGAAACTGACATTTATCCCAGCTAACAGAATAGGAAAACCCCAAGTTCCTAAACTCGACATATTGTTTAAAGCATTTTAAATGGAACCGAGCATTCCTGCTATAGTTTTTGAATGGTTTGAGAGATCCTCTAACAGACTACATTTGAACCAAATAAATCTTCATTTACACTAAACAAATTAAATTTATGTTCAGAACTTAGTAAAAAGAAAGACTATTATATATTTGTCTAATAATTTTACATGACACCTGATTGTATTTTGTAAAAACATAGCTATGTAAATCAGTCTATATGTCACCGATAGTAACTTGCAATACTCGATGAAGAAAAATATTGTCAAGCTCAATATAAAAGCTGGTTTCTTTATTAATAATTTTCTCTGCTACTTATGACACTTTTGCATATTTAATCATTTCTATTTAATAATTTTTTTTGAATTATTCTGTTAATATATATTATTTAAATAAAACCTTTGCCACCATTTCATAGACATATTGATTCAGTCTAAACAATTACTGTACAACACTTGAACAAAACCTACTGCAAACATCTTGCATTCATTGTACACAAACCCTATATTTCAGTACTATTTTTCAGTGTTAATACATTACTCTGCATGAACGTTATAATTACTGTATATTAAAATGTACAGTATTATGTGAAATTATTATTGTTTCTTTTTATAATTCATATTAAACTTTTAATGGGATTCAGTACAGTATTCTATTTACAGTCTGTATATTAATTTTTCATAACCCTACTAGGTGACCACATCACAAGAATTGTATACCCCAAAGGTGGCCACATAAATGAGATTTAACTGTAAATATAAAGTTTGTAAATTTATTATTATTATGTTGGATTATGTGAATTTTCCTCTCTTCTATCTGACTTTTGATAAGTGTTTGTGTATTATTTTACATTAATTTGTAATAACTAGAAGTAATAATATACCAGAAAAATATTGTATTTCATCCAATTACCAGATGGAAAGTCATTTTCACATTTCTTTTTTGTGAATAATGTTGGATAAAGTTATTATATTAAAATTTATTTTTCAATATTCTAATAGTAAGTCTAAATTACTTATATAACTCCTAACATGAAAATAATTGTCATCAGAAGGTGTAATTAGTGAAATTTTTTCTTGTTGTTAATAAGTTGTGTCAAATCAAATTGAAAAAGTATGAAAAAAATAACTGATCTGTACACTTGAGAAATAAACTACATAAAAGAATTCAAACTTTAACTCTTTTTGCATTGTGGACACTAAGAGGGCCCACAAAAAGCAGGGCACCAAACCTACAATGGTCTGCCCAAGTGTTGAAAGACTAGAATTTTTTTTGGAGACCACCCCAAAAAACTTTCTGGGGTTTTTCAACCCATCGGAATTCAATTTGGGTCTCCCAGAGTGGTAGGATGCAACCTTAACCACTCAGTCATCCATCCGGCTAGCATAGAATTCATACTAGACATAATTTCATTTATTATAAAACTTTAAAATGAAAAACTACTAGTCACAAAACATGCTAATGGAAAAATTTTACTTGGCATACCAACTAAAAAGTTAAAATTTTAATTTATAACTTACAATAGCTTTTAAATATATATATATATCTATAGTTAATTATTGATATATATATCAATAATTTAATGTGAAATCAATAATTTAGACATGATATATATATATCATGTCTAAATTATTGATTTCACAAAGACATTTTTGAACTTTATAGTACACTTTTGTGTTTTATCTTATATAAGATTTTGGCACACAAAACTAAGGGCTCATTTATACTTCCAGTGTCTAGAGAGCAAGTGAGCAAATTACTCAATTATTAATCAATGTAATTATAACTTAGTCATTTATACTGCTAGAAAAAAATAAGCAAGCAAATGAATGTTTACAGCTGAGCCAGAACAGCAGATCAAACAAATTCGTGGCATGCACATGACCCTCTTTACAACTACCTAATGACATATGCTTTGATTTAAAAGTTCCTTGTACTGGTTGTATTAATGTCTTTTATGTGAGCATAAAATTACTATAACAGACTTATTGTAGAGGAAAAACAGCAAAATGGTGTAAAAATAAACTTTAATCAAATAGAATATGCATTTCAGGTATTATATCCCTCTTCAATTCTGTTTATGGCATATCTGGGAGTACAAAACATAGACTTAAATTATGCTATTTTAACAGTTTTATATATTTAGAATAATAATTATGGTATAACAACATTTATAAATTTAAACTTCAAAAATCAAAAAATAATGCAGCACTGAAAATTTATTATTATAAACTGTAATCCATAATTTCTATAATATAAAACAACATAATCACAATTTATCTCTGTCTAATAGCTACTGTATAATATAGATATAAATCATATTCTTATTCCTATAAGATTTCTTACTGAACTTATTTTCTTAGTACTGTAAAAAATATACAATAGAATAAATAAACAACTAAATAAAATATATGTTCTTTTAATCTAAGCATTCACATAATCACGATTTATCTCTGTCTAATAGCTACTGTATAATATAGATATAAATCATATTCTTATTCCTATAAGATTTCTTACTGAACTTATTTTCTTAGTACTATAAAAAATATACAATAGAATAAATAAACAACTAAATAAAATATATGTTCTTTTAATCTAAGCATTCACATTGTTGTTAAAACTGGTTAGAAACTTACCATAGCACTTTCTGCAGTAAACAATTTCAGACTGGCAAAATTATTAGTGTATTTGCATAGAAATTTTAAGAAACAGTAGTATAGTAAAACCCTCACTCTGAGGCCACTCCCAAAAATTCCCAGGTAAAATTGTGTAAGTTTTAATGTAAATCAAACTCCATCTCAGTGAAACTGACATTTATCCCAGCTAACAGAATAGGAAAACCCCAAGTTCCTAAACTCGACATATTGTTTAAAGCATTTTAAATGGAACCGAGCATTCCTGCTATAGTTTTTGAATGGTTTGAGAGATCCTCTAACAGACTACATTTGAACCAAATAAATCTTCATTTACACTAAACAAATTAAATTTATGTTCAGAACTTAGTAAAAAGANGCGGATATTGCACAAACTGTTGAGTTTAAATGAGCAGCAGACCTACTAAAAACCATTTATTATTTAACAGCCATAAAAATTATATTTATATTAATGATGTCTCCAAAGTTCAGCAAATTTTTTGCAGAAAAATAACTTATCAGAAAACACGAACCCGCTGTTCGATGCACTGCTCCATGACGAAAACAAGCTTAAGCAATGGGGTCATCGAACGGTGCAAACTTGGTAAGTAATGCTACAATTTTTTGTTTATAGCATAATTTATATGGATTATTCCCAAAAAATTATATGTGTTTTGGAAATGAGTCAAATTAGTCTAGAATCGATTAATTTTATGGAAGAAAACCTTTCAAACAGCTGTAGTCCCTAAACTGTACACGTGCCGGGCTGTGATTGGCTCATGTATTTAAGTGACTTGTAAAACATGGAATTCATATAAAATGGAACATATCTACCGTGTTATAGGGGGGGTCTACTGTATATACATATGCCTGTACTTTACTCTCAATCATATATATCTC